CCCCCCCCCCCCCCCCCCCCCCCCCCCCCCCCCCCCCCCTCCCCCCCCCCCCCCCCCCCCCCCCCCCCCCCCCCCCGCCCCGCCCCGCCGGCCCCCCGCATGTGCAGACCCACGGCGGCCGCGGCGGGTCCCCCGAGGCCGATAGCCTCGCCTCGCTCATGGCATCCTCCTCGCCGCGCGATCACCTGCACCACCCGGCCCCGCCGGCCGCCGGCCAGTCCACCCTCACCCAGGCGCCTTTCCATCAGCCACCGGCGGTGCTGCCGACGCACCGGCTGCCGACCGGGCCGGCCTTCGACCCGGCCGCCCGGCGCCACTCGCAATGCCTCGATGTGGTGGACATCAACCGCCTGTCGGATTCGATGCGGGATTTGCAGGCGCGCGACCGCAGCGACCTGTCCAACATCACCACCAGCACCAACTCCCCCTTCGGGCGTGGCCCCGGGCTCGGGGGCGGCCTGTTGCCGGCCAGCGGCGCCGGCAGCATCACCGGGTCGCATCCTTTCGTCGGCCCCGGGGCCGGACCCCCGGGCGCCGGGGGGGATCTCCCCTCGGCCGGGCGCGGGTCGTCCGACATCCTCGACAGCTACTCGCAGCCGTCCGGGCCGAAGAAGATCCCAGCCTCGGTCCCCGGGCAGGGGCCAGGCTCCTCGCCCTCGCCCTCGCCTTCACCCTCCTCGTCCGGGTCTCTGTCCGGGTCCTCGTCCGGACCGCTGGGCAGCGCCTTCGCCGCCAACACGGGCTCCTACCCGGTGCCGGCCTCCTCACATTACCATCACATGCACCGTATGTCGCCCGGCGGGCCGGTCGCCGCCGCCGCCGCCGCCCCCAACCGGCAGCACGGCCTCGGCCCTGTGCCGGGGTATGTCGCAGCCGACTCGGCCGTCGTCGGTGCGGCGGGCGCCTATGCGCACCACGGGGCCCTCTACTCCGGGAGGGGGTTTGTCCGGCCCGGCGGCCCGGCCCCGATGCCCTCCCTGGTTGATGACCGTGGCGCCCTCCTGCACTTGGACGCGGATTCCTACGCGGCATCCTCCATCATCACCGGGTATGAGGGGCCCGGGCCTTGAGGCGATGCCTCGGAGCCGGGGGTGCCCTCCGCGGGGCCTCTTCGCGGAATGCACGCCTCCTGTCCTTCTTTCTTGCCCCTTTCTGCCCTTGCATTTCACCGGCCCACACCCCCGGCGGGTCGTCCGCCAGCCGGCCTTTTCCCCCATGCTGAGACATGCTATATTACAAGGGGGGAGGGGGAGACAGAGAGAGAGAGAGAGGGGGGGGAAGCAAGGACAGGGTGGTTGGGCGCCTCACAGGAGCGACGACTCCGGGTGCGTGGCGGCGCTGCTCAGGGCCGGCATGGGCGGCGTCGAGCCCGGGGACGGCTCGGCCCGGGGGAGTGGCGAGGCCGGCTCAGCCAGGTGCCGGGGGATGGCCGATGCGCTGCGCCAGGCATGTCGCCCGGGGAGGCTGTACGTGAGCCGCGGCTCGGCCGGGAGGACCAGGCCCGAAGTCGAGGCCGATGTGGCACCGGCGTCGGCCCCGGCCAGGCTGGCCGAGGCACTTGGCGAATAATCGCTGCTGAAGCCCTCGTTCGACAGGGAGAAGAGGTCTGACAGGTCGGAGGCACTGCCGAAGGAGGGCTGCATGGCCAGGGCCGGGGCCGACATGCGCCGAGCGACGGGGATCCGCATGGGCGGGTCGCCCAGAGCCGGGGAGCTGGCGCTGGACACCTGGTTGCTGGCGAACTGGGCCCGGGCGTTGGCCAGGGCCCGGGGGTCGCGCAGGAGGAGCGCCGCGTCGGTGGCCTTGCGGGAAACTGGGCCGGGATGTCAGCGCCAAGTGCAGGTGCGCACACATGCATGAACAAGCATGGAGTGGGGAACAGGGGAACAGGGGAACAGGGGAGGGGGGGGGGGGCAAGGCACGCGCGCATGTGCAGAGAGCCGCAAATGCAGGGCGGCCGGAGAAAAGAAGAGGAAAGATGCACGCGCGGCGGGGCCCGCGGCATGGGATGCGAAGCAGGAGGGCAAGAGAGTGGCACACGCACTGATGGCCCCATGGTCGACATGGTCCGCATCGACATAGACAAACCACCGGCATGCGTCGATCCCGGCGAAGGACTCCTCCCGCAGGAGGGACACAAACCCCGGGGACCCGGCCCGGAGGAGGTACTCCACCAGGAGCATGGTTTTGTAAGTCTGCCGAGAGAGCCGGGCCAGGGCGGCCCCGGCCGAGGGGGAAGCACCGGGCGAGGGGCCCACCGAGCCGGGCCCGGGCGAAAGCATCGGCGGGGTGTCGGCCGTGGCGTTTACCGGGGTCGGGGCCCTCAGGGAGGGAGATGACCGGGAGGTAGGCCCGGCCGCATGGACGGCGGCCAGAGGGAGCGGCTCGGCCGGGGTCAGTGGCCGTGGGAAAGCCCTCCCAGGCGAGGGGGTTCGTCCGGGGGAGGGCGGCGCATGGGCGTCGGACTGCGACCGCAGCCGTGTCTGAAGGTGTGGCGCCGAGGCCAGCGACATCGGGGCGCCGGACCCGGGCAGCGAGCTGGCCATGGCGTGGGAGCCTTCGAAGGACCCGGGCGCCAGCCCGGTGAAGGAAACCGAGTGCTTCCGAGAAATCAAGATGGGGGATGACCGGGTGGCGAAGGGCGACGGCGGCCCGGAGGCCAGATGGGGTGATGTGGCCCGGGTGTCGGCCGCCAGTGCGGCCGATGCCCCGGGAGCCGGGCTGGCCGTCGGCCGGGGGGCGCCGATGGCCGGCAGCAAGCGGTCCACCTCCAGGCGCCGGGAGATGATGGCCACGATCTCGATGCATTCCTTCCTGCGAGGGCGCGGCGGGGCCG